GACAGCCCGGGGAGAGCCCCGGGACTGCCCCGGGGAAGGCTCGCGACAGCCTTGGGCCACCCCTGGGACAACCATGGGGCACCCCCGGGACAGCCCTGGGGCACCCCCGGGACAGCCCCGGGGCACCCTCGGGATAGCCCCGGGGCATCCCCCTGGGATCATCCCTAGGGTAGCCCCGGGATAGCCCGGGGAGAGCCCCGAGACTGCCCCGTGACAGCCCTGGGACAGCCCCGGGGCAACCCCGGGACGTGCCCGGGGCAACCCCGGGACAGACCCGGGAAAGCCCCGGGCACCCCCGGGACAGCGCCGGGACAGCCCCAGGGCACCCCCGGGACACCCCTGGGACAGCCCCGGGGTAGCCTCGGGCTCCGAGACAGCCCCGGGGCACCCCCGAGACAGCCCAGGGCAGGCCCGGGATGTTGGGAATGGTGTCCTAGAAGCATAATATGTAATATGATATTTATTATTTATTTAATAAAAAAGTTTATTCATCATTTTTATGTGTATATATTTGTGAATATTTTATGAATATCAATGGAAATTCCATGATTATTTATGTGACCTTAAACATTGTATATAAGTGTTATATACGATAGGATAATGGTTAAGGATAATAATAAAAAATATTGTTCATAATGAATTTAATTAAAGTTTAAAATCTTTAATTAAAATATTATTAATGCATGTCATTCCCATTTAGAATGGAACGGTGTTATCCGCACTGTTAATATGGTGAGATATTGAATGGGTGTATTTCGCATAATGAGATTATATGGAACAAGGACGCAGACATAATATGAATTTCTACAAATAACTTGCCGTCAAGGACTACACGATGGTGGGAATAATGCGAGGGTATCGACAAAGGCAGTGGGAGAAGTTAGACTTCAATTTGAAAATACCTTGTTGTGAACAATGCTTATTTCCCTCCAGGTGTAAAGGGAAATTTGATTTCAAATTCTAAATTATTTGAGCAATTGCCTTTAATAATAATCTAATACACATCTTTCGGAATGGTTCCGATATTTGTTTTGGATATTTGGAAAAAGGTTTACACTATTTAAACCGATGCCTGACTCATTGCATAATGTTGAAATGTTCAAAAGTTGCCGAACCTAGGAATAAGAAGCAAATGATCTCTCACGATAAATAACACATATATGTAGCATCTTAGACTTTGTCATATTAGCCTAAACAAGATTTAAAGGCTGGTAAAAGATGGTCCTTTACAAGAACTAAAAGTTAGTAAGCTTCCAGCATATGAATCTTGTCTGGGAAGCAAAATGACCACGGGGCCTTCCATAGCCGAAAAGAGAAATTAGACTTTGCTCGACATGATAAGATCAATGTTGAGTTATTCTTCACTTTCTACTTCATTCTGGGTTTATACCCTAAGAACCACCGTGTATATTCTAAATCTAGTACCATCTAAGTCCGTACCAAAGACACCCCTAGAGTTGTGGAATGGTCGAAAGTCAGTTTTGAAGCATATTTGCATATAGGGGGTGTCAGGCTCATGTGATGAAACAATAAACTGGGAGTTGGAACCAATATCAGAAATATGCATATTTGTGGGATATGCAATGGGAACAAGAGAATGATTATTTTATATAGTCACAAGAATCAAAAGGTATTTGTATCGACAAACGCCACATTTCTGGAGCATGACTATATGATAGTTATCAAGCCTAGAAGCAAAGTAGTTCTGGAAAAGTTACTTTCTAATAAGATTGGACCACAACTGACAAGAGTTGTTAGAACGCTAAGAGATAAGACTATGATTCGTAATCAAACTCTTGTGGCACCTCGTCGTAGTGGGAGGGTAAGCAAGTTACCTGACCAGTATACTGATGAAGCACAGATCGTCACTGCTGATGACGGTAAGGAGGATCCGTTGATCTTTAAGGCTACGTTGGATAATTTTGATAAGGAAAAGTGGCAAGCAGCTATGAAACTCGAGATAGTGTCCATGTACTCCAACTCAGTCTGGCAACTTGTAGATCTACCTGAAGGGGTAAAACCCATTGGATGCAAGTGGATCTTCAAGAGAAGAAGATGAGCGAATGGAAAAGTAGAGACTTATAAAGTAAGGCTAGTGGTTAAAGGTTACACCCAGAAAGAGGAAGTTAACTATGAGAAAACTCTCTCACCGGTGGCCATACTTAAGTCCATCCGCATACTCTTAGCCATAACAACATATTTTGAATATGAGATATGACAGATGGATGTCAAGATAGCGTTTCTGAATAGCTATCTTGAGAAAACTATCTAAATCGATCAGCCAGAGGGTTACATAGAGAAAGACCAAGAGCAGAAAGTCTGCAAGTTATAGAGATCCATTTATGGATTGAAACAAACTTCTAGATCATGGAACATTAAGTTTGATGAGACTATTAAGTCTTATGGATTTGATCAAAACCAAGATGTTTCAAATGAAAGAAAAGAATATGTTCTTATTCATTACATGCCCGAATATCTGATATTCAGTAGGAGTGGTCAGTCGTTGTCAGTTGAACTCAAGATTCGATTATTGAGTTGTCGTGTAGTGTATCCTTAAGTGTATGAGAAAAACAAGAAACTATAAGATGGTTTAGTTAGTGAAAGAGTTGTCTTTCGCGGGATACATAGACTTTGACTATGAGTCATGCATGAATTTTGGGAGTCAACATCAAAATCTATGTTCACACTAGGCGAATGAGTCATGACAAGAAAGGTTGTTGGCAAAGTGTGATTGCTAATTCTATCATTAAGAGTTAATGTGTAGCCGCTTCAAGTTAAACTCCAAAGCAACAAGCCCATAAAATTTATGATATTTCTGTAAAGTGCTCATTATTTATCATTTGAGGTTGAGTCCAAGCACTAGACCTTTGTTTTAAGGTTTTTTTTTTTCTTTTTTGTTTTATTAACATTCAAACTTCTAAAATTTGACAATTTGATCTCTATTTTTTTTCCCCTGATGTTGATACCCAATTTTCTACCAAGCCCATTTAAAGATCCAAACCACCCTTCGTGTCACGTGACGTTATTGAGCTCGCTTCGTTGCTCATCACGCTCAGGAAACTCACGTGATCAAGTATGCTTATTTATTATTTAATTCATTATTAATTTAAATCCCACTTGAGGGTTCAAATTAGTCTAATTAAATATAAATAGATGATGGAGCTATTGAGTTCCTACAATCATTAAGGTCATGTTTAGTTTCTATACTTGAACTAATGATTCTAAATCTGTTATAATGTTTTTCATCTCACAAAGAATTTGAATTTAAAAATTTCTCCACTCACAAAATTCCCGTCAATGAATCAGAATGTCAATGAATCAAAATCACAAACGAATCAAAATCACAAACCAAATAGACCCTCAAATGTTCCAATGATGGTAATCATACAACATTGTCATGCACAATTAAAACAATAAAACATTGTAATATATTAATCCTGAGAATCCGACTCTCGTATATGCAACCGAATGTTATAATATAGATTTTCTTATAATCATGTTGCACCTATTATTTTCCGAAGGATATAATTCATACTAATTAGTAAGTACCAAATGCCCTCTTTTTGTAGAGTCCACAGATCCTAATTCGGAAAAAATATAATTTTGATATCTTTTCTTATAATCGAATTATGCGTTGAGCACCATTTGTTTTTAATAATACTAAATTGGTACCTCAAACTTTTAAAAAATATATTTTTTATAGACCAATTTTTAAGACATGCAAGCAAAAAATACCCTATACATTAATTTACCAAAAACTAATAAATTTAGAAAAAGTTCTGAAAATATTCTAAAAGACTAAAAATATTAAGCCAAAGAAGGAGATGATAAATTTTCAAAATATTCTTACAAAATTTCTTTAAAAATTATTAATTTCTATTTATTTGATGAGAAGGGTATTCCGGGCATTTACCAGATTGCAGAAGCCTAATAACGCACGGATGGAATAATAATTTAAAAGTTGTGTAGACCAAGCCTCGAACAACCTAAATGTCAGAGCAAGAAACCTTTGATAATAGATGAGAAGTATCTCCATGCATTCTCAGCGTATAAATACATACTGGAATTCATGTCAAATGTGGGTAAGCAATACATATTTACCTAAAACTCTAATGTCACTTGGAGGAACATTGGGAATAAGAGCTCATGGGCTGAAAAAACTCACTACAACGAATCAGCAATAATATTTCTGAGTCGTCCAAGCCAAAGCTGTAAAGGTCATTAACAAGATCAGCAAGATGTTTTGTAAGACAAACATTGAAAAAAAAGAAAAAATAACACTCAACAACCACCAAAGTGTGCACAATATGCCTTCTCCCACTCTAGTTGTAACGAATATTGATTTCTTTTCCCGCTATTGACTGTACTTCATCCAAAACTAGACTTTGGGTGACTGAGAATATTGAGAAACGAGGCATACAATACCAACCTATAAATAAGGAAAAAATATATATATATGAAACTTTGCCTGATTGCCATTCAGTCTTCATCGTCAGAACTTGCATATGCTAAGCCTAGTACGCTTTTAACAGGGTTTTCCACTTTAATTTGGCCTTCTGTGTTGTCTGATTTTGCCAACGGTTGTTCATTTTCCTTATTTTTTGTCTCTGACTTGAGATCTGTGGAAGCACTGTGACTTGAAGCAGACCGATTCCCATCCGACAGGCTTGAGACTCTCGGACGTTTGGGTTTAATTTCCACTACCTTTTTTAGTAGATCTTGCTGTCTGCATTTAAAAATAAATTATGTTTACTAAATCATAAACCAATAACATAAAGATAAATTTCAAGTGTGAACGTTTGCTGAATAATCGTATCAAGGGAAATTCCAAGTATGTGCATAAGCTTTAAAGAAATATAAATACCTGATTCCGCTCTTTGGCTTGGGTTCAACACGAAGTGGCAAGGGAACCGATGCAGGTGAAGAATCCGCTAAACTTGCAGCTTTGTGCCCAGTGGTTAAGGAAATTTTATATAAAGAGGTAACATCTTAACATCATACGGGCACAAAGAGTTCTCATGAAGATGTCTAGAAGTCGGAAACATATTTCATAACTTGACTAGTTTTCTTGCACATTCCATGTCAGAACTAAGAAGCACAGTCTTCAATGTATTAGTAAACTGGGGAATTGGCTCAAAAAGACGCTCAAACCCTATGTCAATTATTTGTATCCTACCTTATAAAGCAACTTCCAGGAGAAAATCATCAAACTGACCATCCACAAGGGACGGAAGAAGGGAACGCTTACAATAGATGAATAAGGGTCTTTAAATAAAATTAAACAGACTGTAAAACGATTTGGTCTAAACTGCTCTTTGGATAGAGGAGGGATGATGTGAAGAAAAATTATTACAGGGTGGAAAGGAGAAAGGAGCAAATATAGGAGAAAAGATTGTATGGATTATGCATTATGGATACAACAGTGATCTCTAGAAGGATTAAATTCGAAGCCGCCTTTCATGTTTCCATTATTAGAATATTTTTAGGGTTCGAAACCCTGACTTTGAAGCGTCAGGTTGCATAGCATAAAATGACAGATCTTATTAAACGATGAGGTACGCCATATCCTATTAAGAAGATTCATGGCACAGTACCTCAACAGGTTATCAAGTTCATACAGAAGCAATATCAACACAATGTTAATAGCCATAAACTTATGCGTAACTTGTACACTTCAAGTCAGACAGTTTTATTCATATTTAGAGATTATTTACTTCAGTGGAAGGATATCTTAAATGCAGCAAATGCTCGCTTCTCAGTACGGCGAAGCAGGCGTTCTGCATCCTCCTCAGCTTCCATCTGCTCCTTGAGATAGAGTAGGTCATCACTGTCCAAGGCTGCATAATCAAACTTACAATAGAGTTAAATAAATTAACGGTCCAAATGAAAACTCGACTTTCACATCTAGATGAGCCACCCACAATGACAAACAAAGAACAAAAAAAAGAAAAGAAGGGGGATACCGCCTCGTCCATGAAGGTAGCCTCCCCTTTCTCCAGCAACCTCTTGCATCTGCTTGCATCAACCGCCCAGTAAAAGAGGCCAAGATCCCTGCCGGGGCAAGTTATCAGAAACTCCAATCGAAATTTTAGATCAAATATGTTATGTAGACCAAACTAAATGCTAAAGAATGCCATCACCACACAAAAGACAACATTCATATCATCTTAATCTACCATTCACCGAGCGCTTTAGAGAGTGCAAGGAAAAGGCTAGTGTAATTACAGATCAAAATCATCAATATGTGCTCAATTAACTCTCAAAACCAAAGAGGAAAAAGCATATTCTTCACTTAGCAATTGCAAATGCTGCACACTCTTGGTGTCCCTCCTTTTTTTTTTTTTTTTGGAGTAATTCTTTATGTCATTCTCGATCACTAAATTGTTTGTGACAAAACCCCAAAAATCAAGAAAACGTTTTTTTTTCCTCCGCTTTTTTTTTATTTTTACAGATTAATGGTTTTCTAAAGAAAAAACTTGAACTATACAATAACGATCCACTACAGAACTGCATCTACAGCCAATAAATTTACTTTTGGAAGAGTACTAGGGTCAGTCACTTGAGCACTCTCTCAGACGTTGGGAATTTACATGAAGACCATTGTTTATCGGCCTTTACATGAAGACCATTATTAATCAGCAAGAGGAGTAAAGCCAATTTCTTAAAAGGGATAAATCACTTTGCAGGAAGAAGTCTCCTCAACTGAAATCAGTTTTTCAATGCTATATGTTAAGCGAGGCAAGATGTGTAATTAACGCAAGAGGAGAAACCGTTTTTCTTTTAAAATCAGTTATCTAACTATTAGTCAAAGTAACTATATAACGAGCACATCACGGAGTTTAGCGTCTGAAAAAGAAAGTGTTTCAATGGCTGACCCACCTGACCCTAGCACTCCTCCTTTTGGAATAAAAACAAGCTATCAATTGAAACTACCATCTAAAAGAATACACTAAGCGTCTGAAAAAGAGCACATCACGGAGTTTAGCGTCTGAAAAAGAAAGTGTTTCAATGGTTGACCCACCCGACCCTAGCACTCCTTTTGGAATAAAAACAAACTATTAATTGAAACTACCATCTAAAAGAATACACTAAGCCCGTGTCTAGTTCAACAACTTGAACCAAAGATTCACAATCTGAATGAGGCCTATGTCCAAAATTAACGTTTGGTAGGTCAAACAATTCAACCCATTTGGAACTGAAATCCAAATTCTAAACCTACAATCCGGAATTTACTTGTCCAATCTAGTCAATTTACTTTTTCTTCAGTATCAAGATTTTACGAAAGAGAAAATCCGCACAAAGGTGGACTAGGAAAAAAAACAAAACAAAACAAATTTCCAATGGCAACCAAAGAATATTTTCACATATATGGAAACCAAAGACTTCAACAAAAAAGTTAAGGCTCAAAGTACAAAACAATTGGATTATCACTAAGGAACGAAGAGAAACAACTCATAAAGAAGAAAAAATAAAATCAAATGTTCAATGGCAGTTAATACCTCGAACAAATCAAATTAATCTCCCAACCATTCAACTGAGAAAATTGAGGGTTAAAAAAAGGACATAAAGATAAATTGCAAAAGGATGAGGCAAAATGCGCTAACCTTGGCAACCATGCGTTGAAAGGTGATATCTTCATCATCTATCTTATCTTTTCCTTTCCCCCATTTTTTATCTGCCATTGTTTTTTCCAATTCCCAAAAAAAAAAAAAAAAAGATCAAACATATAATCAGCATAACAAAATTAACCCAAAAATACCCAGAAAAAAAAAAGAGACAAAGAAAAAAAAAAAAAAAAAAAACCTTTGGGGTCGCTGAGATTGGTGTACTCGCGAACCTCCCTGCCGGACATTACTATACTAGTGTTGAGATTTTTAAATTACTTGAAATCGACTGCGTTAAGATGAAATCGCTGATGGATAAATTCTCAGAAAAGGTTGGAAACTATGGGGAGCAGGAACAGAGGATCGTTTTAGAAGAGTGGTTTTTATTGCCCTAACTCTTCCCTATCGGCCACAGACATTAACGAGTCCTAACGAACAGTTCAGTTTTGTGGGCCACTTAGATAAGGAAGGTCGGTTTCAGCCCATTTCTTATTCCGACCCAACTAAATTTTACGGGCTTGGACTTTGAGGTCGTTCCAGCATGTAATACGGACAAAATAGAATCGGCACTTTACGCATTTAGAAAAATTTCAATAGCACTGTCTAAATATGGTAAATTTTAAAAATATTATAAAAATAGTAAAATTTTAATGTTATTAGAATTATATCATTATATAGTACAAAATGGGGTATTATTATGATATTGATTAGGTTATTTTTGTTATATTTATAATATTTTAAAAATTTTATTAAATTTCAAATCAAGGTATGAATTTTATAATGTAGTGTAATTATCACAAATTTAGAATTACATTGAATGTCCTTTTTTTTAAGTACTAGTTAAGATATGTGCAATTCACATATTAAGTTCTAATTGAAGTTTTTATGACGTAGACTTTAATTTTATGAATAAAAAATAAATAATTTTATAAATAAAAATAAATTTTATGTACTACTCTATTAGAATAACTACTATTCGTACTAATAAAAATTGTAAGCCATTAAATAACACAAATTATAATCTAATAGCTACGTACTCATATTTTTTAAACCCTGGATAACTAACTAAACTTTATGTCATGGAAATGGCATATAAAAACATGCCTTTTATCAAATCAATAAAAAAATAATCTTAAGTGGCACAAACTTATATTTGGAATAACAAAAATGTTAAGATTGTGTTAAATACCAGATAAACTATGTACTTTTCTCTAACTTTAAAGTCCCAAAATATAGGCTCAATATGTGAATCCATGTAATCCAATTTGTAGAAAATCTGCTGTGTTCGGATAGCTTGAGAAGTTCACAGACGGGTAACGAATTGAGATTTTTTCAATTAATGACGGATTAAATTATAGATTGACCCATAATCCATATAATCCGATCCGTGAACCCCTAATTAGAAGGCTGATAGTGGCAATAGAGACTCCAACTGAAAATTTGAACAACATGAATTATAATTTGGGGCATTTGTAAACTCAAAAAAAAAAAAAAAAACGGTGTGGGGGAATTGGAGTTAAAACGTTTTACATCACTATGAACTTTTTATGTATAAAAAAAAGCATTTATACATCATTGGAAGAAGGAAAACAAGAGTATACAACATAAATTACAAAATATATAGAAAAATAAAAGTTAGAACCAAGAAAACCATTTAATGCTTTGAGTTCTTCAGCTTGTCATGCCTGCATATGCCGTCTTGTTAAGCTGATTTGGAAACCATTCACCAATCTAGCAGAGGGAAAAAAGGACATTCTATCTTCTTTTATTTGGGTCCATCTGTGTCATAAAAAGTTATTAAATCAATACAGAAAGTACTTGATTATTAAGTAGGTAAATGCATGTTATTCCAAAAAAAAAAAAAAAAACATGTGAATTGTTTTTTTTTTTTTTTTTTTTTTTTTTTTTTGTATTTTATTGAACTTAGAGGTGAGAATGATTGGACTTCTAGACCTCAACATTTATAAGAGCGCCTAAAAATATAACTGTAATTAGGCTAAGTTTGCAACAACATCTTTTCTGTCTTATTAGCTCTAGATAGTTTAGTCATTCTAATTTTTCACCATGCATGTTGCTGATTCATGCTTTAACTAGAGTCACTGCTGAGCTGAAGTTTCGATAACATATAAAGATATACATATACCTATATACAAAACTTGCACATAAACAAAGCTATACACGCTGTCAGCCGTTCCATATATAGCGAAATTAACTAATATTATATACTATTATATACATGATCGTTGGGCAAAATATTTGCATATATAATCCTTATAATAAAGAATATATGTTTGTGTGTTGTAGTTTGTATCCTTCATTATATCATCTTGATATATAACTTATTCGTCTAGTACTAAGATTTGGAGTATGCTAAAAGTTATACTTTGATTGCTAAAGAAGAAGTAAGTGCAACCAATTAGCAATCTCACCAGTAAATATATATATATATATATGTATATGTATTAGAACAATTTACACAGCGAAGCTTTGCTCCTGTTAACAAGCTAGTAATATATTTGGCAGTGTAATTTTAGGAGTACTTGATAGGTTTCTAATCTTTGAAAGTATGATTGAATAATTAACTTCCAAGAAATTGTAGTCGAATAGAACCAAATAAAACCAGATTACTAAAGTTAAAAGAAAAAAGAAAGGGAAAAAAAAAGATGTTTTCTCATTTTCTTAACAAAAATATGAAAATTCCATTAAAAAAAAAACAAAATATGAAAACAATTTTAAGCACACTCCTACACCCACACAGCAGAATAATAAACTGAAACAAAAATAATAGAAAAATAAAAAAAATAAAGATTTAAGTGGTTCGGAAATTTGGGGCATTTGTAAACTCAAAAAAAAAAAAAAACGGTGTGGGGGAATTGGAGTTAAAACGTTTTACATCACTATGAACTTTTTATGTATAAAAAAAAGCATTTATACATCATTGGAAGAAGGAAAACAAGAGTATACAACATAAATTACAAAATATATAGAAAAATAAAAGTTAGAACCAAGAAAACCATTTAATGCTTTGAGTTCTTCAGCTTGTCATGCCTGCATATGCCGTCTTGTTAAGCTGATTTGGAAACCATTCACCAATCTAGCAGAGGGAAAAAAGGACATTCTATCTTCTTTTATTTGGGTCCATCTGTGTCATAAAAAGTTATTAGATCAATACAGAAAGTACTTGATTATTAAGTAGGTAAATGCATGTTATTCCAAAAAAAAAAAAAAAAAAACATGCAAACTTGATTATTAAGTAGGTAAATGCATGTTATTCCAAAAAAAAAAAAAAAAAACATGCGAATTGTTTTTTTGTTTTTTTTTTTTTCAAGTAAAACTACATGAAATTAATGAATCAATTTTCTATTACGTGGATAGAGTAATGGAAATATAATTACCCATATGTCGTAACAAAGTAATGGAGAAAAAGAGCAATTTGGAGGCGAGCTAACTCAGCTCCGGGACAGAATCTAACCCCTCCTCCAAATGGAGCAAAAAACGGACTATTTCTCCAATTCCTTTTTTCCTGAGTAAAAGTTCAACACGGATATAAGCTTCATTTAGTTCGCTAATTCGAATTTTTAATTTGAGTTGAGTTGTGACTTTATGCTAGACCTTTAGACTGTACTAAAAAGTTAGATGTGATTATTTTTAAGAGCTTTTTATCATAGCAAAATTCGAATTGGTGAAATGAACAGAGCCATAAATTAATTCAGGCAAAATGATATATAGACATGTAACATGTAAATTTTAAAAAAAAAAAAAAAAACTTCTGATACGTGTTGAATTATACGTTATGTATTATTTCCGTGGTCGAAATTCCAAATCTAGAGCTACTATTTGTGTGAATAATTTGAAAGCTTAAGTTAGTAAATTCACATAATTAATCATATAAACTTAAGCAAGCCAACCTGATTTTCAGGGTCCATCCATCTCCATGGATTAAAATTTAGAGCTCCATTGTACACATTTTCCTCCAAATGTACTGCCGATAGAAATGGAACTACGAAGCATCCTTTGGGAATAATGTAATCTGTCCCAGCCACGAAAAAAGAAATAATCTTATAAATTCGATAAACGTTCATGATATTTACATTGCTAGTTATTCATACGAGAAAATACTTCTATCTTTACTTATAAACAAAAAAAAAATGTTTTTTTTTTTTTTTTTTTTTTTTTTTTTTTTTTTTTTTTTTTGTGCTTACAGTTAAGAGGCTTTGTTAGGGCTATTCTATGTTAGTACAAAATTAATAAGAACCTACCCGTGTTCTCAAATTTTATATAGATTTATATTTACAAATTTTATATATTTTATATAGATTTATATTTACAAAGTTCATATCTATTTAGCCTCACAGTTTCTGTGAAAAGTTGCATATAATTTTACGTGAAACGACGAGCAAATAGTTTACGTAGAAATTTTTCACAACTGGTGAAAATTTTCCACCCTATATATAACTCGAAAATAACCATTTATCTTTATCAATTAAGGTGTCGTAGGACTCCATACCTTGGTACTTAACGTCTTCTTTTGCCTCTCTCATCAACCAAATTGCAATTCCCCCAAGTCTAAGTGTTTCATCAATAACCTGCACGACATAAGATGAATATAGTTACAAAGAAAGAAAAAAAAAAAGTTTTTTTTTTTTTTCTGAGAAAGGAAAAAAAGTTAATGCACAAATAATATCCAATGTTAGTCAAAACGTGGCGACCAATATTGGAAATTGATCACGTGAAAAGAAAACGTGATAATAACAAAAATTTCACTTTATATTTCAAAAATTATTAATGTACCTATAAATTATGTCCCCTTACATTTCAAAAATCGTGTTAGAAACTTCCTCTTTAACATGATTTGTTTAAGGTATGAATTAAGAAATGAGTGTAGCATTGCTAAAAATATAAGGTGATGAAAGCAACATTTTCATAAGACATATGGGAGATTTTTATTATTACCCAAAAGAAAAGTTATACCTTTCCAAAAATAAAAAAAAAAAAGTTATAACTTTGAATTTCTTCAAGTAGCTATACCAAGTTGCATTTAATAATAATAATGAAAAAAATGCGACACTAAAACTAACTAACGCTAAATAGGCTGATCAGTTGTTTAACCATTATTTGAGTTATCGGGTTGTTCTTTTGCATTTTTGAGTTAGGGTGATTTGAGTGGTGATCTTGAGTTAAGTTTGAGCTATAACTTGAGTTTAAGTTATAACTTGAGTTTGTGTTTGGATGTGCACATTTGAGTTATGATTTAAATTGAGAATCTATTTGAATTTGTGTTTTGGTGGGTCAAAACTTAAATTTTTATTTAAATAGTATTTTAATAAAAACTTAATGATGATGAAAATTTTTAATAGGGTACATGGGTGGGATTTTATTCGTCTTTTCGTTGTGAATGCATAGAAAAAAATCATCTTAATCATAATTAAAACGAAAAAGTTATGATATTTTTAATAATAGAAAAAATACAGTTCATTAACTTGAGTTTGAGTTTATAATCTCGAATTGAAGGGAAAACTTGAACGCGAGTTGCAATAGCTCACGTTTCAAACTTACAGGCTGTTTCCAGCACCAAAAAAAAAAAAGGCATATTCTGTAAAATAGATATCATAGAATAATAACCCAATAAATGCTTTCCAATTGAGGTTTATTTATTTATTTTTTTGGCCACCAGATAGCATTTGTCTACTAAACGTAAATCAAACAATCTGATTGGCAATGATGACTCACACATTGAGTAAATGGCATTGCTTTGTAGTCCTGCCATGTAAGCTTGTTTTGATCTCCGCCAGACATACTTCTGAAACCGTCTTGCTCTTCCTGTTCATCAGTTGCCATATTTATGAACAGGAAAAAGGAATTTGCAAACTTTTTCATGGTAAAATTAGAGAGACAACGGACAACTTCAAGATATTTCTTATCCAGACATGATTATTTCCATATCACTTGTTAATCTTTCCTTATTTACATTCATTTGTCATTAATGTATTATATTCTCATTAGAATGCGCATTCCTTTCTCATTAGTTTACGCGATTGACTCTTGTTCATAGGCTGTATATATTCTATTACTTCGATAATGAAAACAGACTGATAATTCATCTCAATTACCATTCTCTATATTTCTAACTTCTTATTTTTGATATTTCTTATAACAAAATTTCATTTTAATGAGATAAAAATGTTAGAAAATTATATTTCTAAATAATAATTATGAGCCATATATTTATAACAATTATATTAACGTTATTTAATTAATTAGGCTATTTAAGTGGTCTAATTGTTGAGAGCTCAAATAGTCTCCTAACAGGGTATGGACTAAATGGGTGGATACCTAATATTGACCCAATTAGGTTTAATGAGAGCTTAATGAGACAATATATAAAGAAACTTAGGTTATGGTGCACAATAAGTCAAATCATTCAGCCGTTTTCCCTCTTCTCCATCTAGAGAGAGAACACTCATTCAAGACTCTAGTGATTTGACACAATAACTCGATGTGCTCATTGTCTTAAAGATTTCTATTGGAGATTAAGGCTGAACCAATGGAAACAGGTATTTATTCTAACATATTTTCTTAATAATTTAGTGTAATGATTCCTAGAATGTGGAATAAGGATTTAAAGATCCAACAAAAAAATGAGATAAAAAACAGACTGATAATTCATCTCAATTACCATTCTCTATATTTCTAACTTCTTATTTATGAGATTTCTTATAACAAAATTTCATTTTAATGAGATAAAAAAACGTTCCAAAAAAATTTGATGATGAATGATCCCCACAATTGGCTATATATATTGAACTTAAATCCTCGGTCTACTTTTTCTTGTCTTGCTTTCTCTCTAGTAAATTAGATGTTGATACATGATAAACAAATGTGGTAGTCATTATTAATTAGTAACGGATATATAACAGAAAAATGATTAAGAAAATAACAAGCATTTACATTCATATATGTATGTATGATTGTATGTGAGTTATATATATATATATTATGCAGTTAATTAAGGGTAAACTTATAATTAAGTAGTTAATTAAGAGAGCTAGGATCTATATGGAGAAGTACGTACCAAGAGTTGCTTGAGAGCTCTGGGACATTGAGTGAGAAAATAAACAGCAAAAAGCATAGTTTTAGCAGTGGTTTCGTTGCCAGCAAATAAAAGATTGATAATGAAATCTGCTACAGCTTCGTCAGGTAAGCTTTCTTCCTCTAACAGTCTTGCAAGTACCCCATTACTCACTTCCAATGACCCCTCTTGCCTGTACATCTCTATTGTCCTGTTTATCTTTCTAATTATTTTCTCTCTTGCCTGTCCACAAAAAAATAATTAATAATAAATAATTAAATGAGTACACGTTTTGTCCTTTTTTCGCAAGAGACAAAACAAAAATCCCCTAACATGAAATGGTTTTTTCTTGTTAGTGACATCATAGAAGTATGATATTCTGGCAAAATAAATATATGTTTTTTATATATAAAAAAAAGCAAAATAGAAAATTTTAGTAGTATGATAATTGGTGTAATAGACCACAGTTTTATTTATAACTTTGTGCGATGATAAATTGTCAATAATGCTAGTAACCTATATTCTATCGAGGAAAATGATTGCAAGTATAGTGTAACATAATTTCGCGCTCACTTACCACATTGAGGTTTAGGAGATGTTTGGTTCATGGATTAGAATCATGTGATTAGAATTATTTTCGATTTACATGTATTTTTTATGAGAGAAAATACTGTAGCGAATCATGAACCATAATTTAAATCATGGTTTGAATTCTCCAACCAAACGTCCCCTTAGAGTTTGAATTTTCCTATCCAAATTTTAAAAAATAGTTAAATAAAAAATTCCATTAGAAAGGGCAAGAAAAAACGTTAGAAATGAAGACCCATATCTTGTATCATGAAATGAAAGACACACATGGGATGGCCCCACAAACGGGTGGTACTGGTTTTCAATCATTGACATATTATGGTAGTTGACATTTCTCTTATTCTTTGGCTTGGTATTTTTGACGAAGTCACGGTTTGAGGAAGTTTTGAACATCTTGTGCATGAATCTAGTTCGTGTAGG